AACATTCTTAGAACAAAAGTTGCATCCAAACATGATTCTTCATGAATTAGTTTGCATTTTTCTTTAAATGCATTACTTTTTTCGATGAAGTTTTTTATAATTGCACTCATGACCTGCATAACAGTGTGAGAAACACATTTTGAACAATTTATAAGATTCAACAGTTTCTCGTCGCCGGAATGATAAATGAAAAACATTTCATTTATTTCCTCTGGTATTGTATGGCCATCAAAGATTGCTTGAATTAAATCCTTCAAAAGCTTTTTTAAGTTATTGCTGCCATGCTTTAGCAGACGCATACTGATACCACCAGGTGATGGCACGTCAAAATCTTCGAATTCATTTAAAGCTTGTATGATATCTGCAGGAAATATGGAAAAACCAGATTGTCCAATGCATCTTTCTAAATCACCAATGAATTCTGGGCGGCACTCTTTAAAATAATTTTTAAAGTAAATTTCAAGAAATTCTTTGTCTGCTGTTAGAGTTGTAACAGACTGGTTCTGAAACTCTTTTAGGATATTGCAGATCACTTTGTTCCTTTGAAACTGTTTTGGAATTTTTTCAATAGCTTTGCAAATTCCTTTCCAAACTTCTATTTTTACTTCTGATTTAGGGTGGTAAATATAATTTATGCCTATATTATATTCCTTTCTTTTGCACCTTAATTTTCTAAGTTCTTCATCCCACAAAAACTCGGACCTATCACCCAGTGGATCAATTCCCAAGACATCAGTAGCGGCAGAATGTATCACTTCCTTAAAGTGCTGATACAAATCCGCTGTTGACTTATACTTATTTAAAATTATGTGTCTATCAAGGTGTTCTTTATATTTGGCTTCAATTGTCTCACTAAATAACAAATAGGAATTATACATACGCAAAGATGACTTTGGAGGCGGAATCGAAGAAAATATTGCCACCGCCTCTAAGTAAATGTGATCTGTGCCACATTCCAGCCATCTACAAGCAATAACATCCACGAATTTCAAAATAGTGTCTTGTCTGACTATGCAATAATCAATTATTGACTTTGAATTGCTCCTTTTATCGTACCAAGTGTATTTATGCATGTCTTCGTGATCAAAGAATGTGTTTAAAATCTTCAAATGAAAGATTTCACAAACATCAATAAGTCTCCTGCCATTGTTGTTCATTTTTTCCTCTCCGAATCTTCCAATTGCTCTGCTGCTGATGGATGTACCAACCCAGGCATTGAAGTCCCCTAGAATGACAATCTCGTCTGTAAGTTTTATGTTTTTCAAAACCTTGCACAATGCAGTTTGAAATCTGTCTTTAACTTCAGTCTTAGCACAATCATCAACCCAATAAACACCGAGAACCACGATTTTATGCACCCCTACTTTAAGCCTGACTCTGATTATTCGTTCGTTAACTACTTTCCATCTCATACCAGAGGAAAATTCTTTCTTGACGAGAACAGAGACGCCGGCTCTGGCAGCACCAACTCTAACACCGCTGTAAACATGGATATAGTTTGGATATTCCTCTTTTCCAGATCCTCTGAGTTTAGTTTCTGTGAGTACAACCACATCTTTGTTTTCTCTTTCAATTTCAGCAAAAGTCTCTTGCTTTTTTTCTGTTAAACCTCGTACGTTCCAAGTCCCGAAAGTGAAAGACCTGTGGTAAATTTCTCTCTCCACCATGCTTCAGAGAAATATGAAATTTCTTGAAGAAGAAAAAGAATTGCTGATGATAGCGTTATCTTATCTATTAGTAAGATGCTATTAGTTCTTTATTGTCATTTCACGCCTATTTTCTGAAGAATTTACAAGTCACGCATAAGACTGATGAATTCAATTGAAACAATGATAACAAATGAAATTTGGAAATTTCATGTTTGAAGTTCGGTTTGCTTCTTTCCAGCAATTTTTTGGTCTCAAAGTGAAGTAAGAAAGCTCTTCTGATGTCTCATCATATGCATTCCAACATTCAGATGCAATAAATAAATCCTAGAAAAGAAAATAATTCATTAAAGCAAATTCATTAAAGTATTAATTACGAAAATATTATATAAACTGCTAGATCTTCTAAAAGGATATTCGTACACTCCATAAACTTTGCCAGTTAGGAATCTAGTTCATTTGAATGAAAAATAATTTTCGGAGAGTCCTATCATAATAAGTTGTTGAGAGCAATTAATCTAAAATATTTAAAGAAAATATATTTTAATGAGAATACAAATGTTTAAATGTAAACATTTTCCCTATTGATTTCATCTCTCTTTTTCAAAATGCACTACATTTATTTTTATTCGCTTGCAGGTTTTGAAAATTTAGAATGGACTCAACAGATAATCTTGTCTGGTTCTTAATAGTTCACAAATTGCTAAATACTGAAGAATACCTATTAGCTCTCAAGATATTATCTACTATGTACTACCGTCAACTACCTGTAGAAAAAATAGCTTCTCGATGGTGTGATTGGTCAACAAAAAAAAAGGTAATACCAGTTGTAGTGGTCGTGAGTTCAATCTTGACAGCCTATTAAACAATCGGTGTGAATACGCAGCAAGGTGCATGTTAATGTGGATGAAATTCCTTTGTTATTGATATTAGTGGGGAAATGGTGTAGTGTGG